CATCAATTTTTCTGGAGATTTGCATGTTTTTCTCAAGAGGTGTTTGTGTAATATAAATACCTAAATCTTTCAAAATTCAAATATACATCTCTTTCAATTCTCTTTCAAAGTCTTTATCACAATTTCATCTTTCCACGTCTAAGAAAAATCACTTTTCACAAAGAATTTTATGCATAAATTTCATATCCTTTGAAAAGAAAATTCTTGAGCAATAAGTCCTAGAAACTTGTGGAAATTCCCATTGAAAGAGAAGATCAATCTCAGCGTTGATAAACAACTATATACATTGTTACAAATCATTACAAAAATCAGATTGTATTTATTTCCCCTTGCTGTTCAGGATTGTTGAAAGCAAGTGTGCGCATTAGAGAGGATTTTTCTCATTGCACTTAGTGTTTAGATCTTAAAGGTGTTTAAGAGCCTTTGATCTCCCTATAGGTTAGAAAGAAAAGTTGTACACTGATCCTAACTATAGCGAAATCTCTTTCGAGTCGAAAGGGGAGTGGAGTATCGTCGGAGTGTGAGGGGAACCACTATAATTTCCTGTGTCACTTTTACTTTCTACCTTTACAAGCTTTCATATCATCACTCAACAAAAAAAGGAAAAGTAACATAATCCTCTTAAAATCAGAAAATTTCAAAAGAACCTAATTCACCCCCCCCCCCCCCCCCCTTTTAGGCGCAATTCTTACTTACACAGGAAACCAACATCAAAGTGCTAGCGCAGGATCCACTCGAAAAGATCAACTTGGGGAATGGGGACAAGAGAAGGCCAACTTATATCAGTGCCAATATCGAATCCCAACTTAAAATCAAAGTGATCCAATTGCTAAAGGAATTCAAAGACTGCTTTGCATGGGATTACGATGAGATGCCTGGTTTAGACAAAAAGTTGGTTGAATTGAAATTACCAATCAAGCCGGGGAAAAAGCCCATCAAGCAGAATCAAAGACGGTTTGCACCGGAGATTCTCTTAAAGATTAAAGACTAAGTCAAAATACTTTTACGTTGCAAATTCATTCGTACGACAAGGTATGTCGAATGGCTTTCAAATATTATGCCAGTTATTAAGAAAAATGGTACTTTGAGGGTTTGCATAAATTTTAGAGATTCAAACCAAGCAACCCCTAAGGATGAGTATTCGATGCCTATGGCCGAAATGCTAATCGACTTAGCCGCAGGACACAAATATCTTAGTATGCTTGACAGATACTCGGGATATAATCAGATCTTTATTGTTGAGGATAATGTTTCAAAAAAAAACGTTTCGATGTCTTGGGGCATTAGGCACTTATGAATGGGTGGTAATGCCTTTCGGCTTAAAAAACGTTGGGGGAACATATCAAAGGGCAATGAATTTGATTTTTCATGATTTCATTGAGACTTTCATGTAGATTTACATTGATGATATTGTTGTAAAATCAATTTCCGGGAAAGGTCATATAGACCATCTTCGAGAATCCTTTGAAAGTATGAGGAGATATGGTTTGAAAATGAATCCTCTCAAATGTACTTTTTGTGTGCAGGCAGAGGATTTCTTAGGCTTCGTGGTCCACAAAAAGGGAATCAAAATAAATCAGAATAAGATCTAGGCCATAATGGAGGCGAAAGCGCCATCAATAAAGAAGGAATTACAATCATTACTGGGAAAGATTAATTTCTTGAGAAGGTTTATCTCGAATCTTAGTGGAAAAAGTCAAGCTTTCTCACCTCTGTTTCGATTTAATAAAGAAGGATTTGAATTGGGGCAAGCTCAACAAGAGGCTTTCGACAAAATCAAGGAGTATTTAAGCCACCCTCCAATCCTAATTCCACCTTGTAGAAATAGGAGTATGAGGTTGTATATATCTGCACCAAATAAGACTTTAGGGAGCATGTTAGCTCAAGAAGATGATGATGGCGTCGTAAGAGCCATTTATTATCTCAGTAGGGTCTTGAACGATGCAGAAACTAGGTATAGCACAGTTGAAAAATTATGTCTGTGTTTGTACTTTTCATGTGTAAAACTTAAGCATTATTCAAAGCTTGTTGATGTTTTTGTTTCCTCACATTTTGATGTTATAAAGCATATGTTTTCGAAACTAATTTTGCATAGTCGAATTGGCAAGTGGGTGTTATACCTTAAATTTTACCCTTAGATTCTTTGATCTTTTGCCTATCATCTTAGGTCAATCATTCATGCATTAGCTAACCCATTTGTTAGACTTTGTTTCATTTGTGAATTTAGGGTCGCTGTGGAAGGCTCAGAAGTTGTGAAAGCTTCGTGTGTGATCATAATTCCCTGCAAGTCATGTTTGAATTCCTGTGAATATAAAATAATGATATGCCCTTACTCCTATGGTTCGTTGGTCAATACAAGGCCATTTTTCTTCAAGATTCCTCAGAAGTTCCCCAAGGAAGATTAAGTTTTCCTCACCATTGACACGAAGCATGTTTATTTAGAGCATGGTGTGTTGTACGGTGTTGACAAGATTGTGTACTCCTTTTCAAGAAAAGGTGAAAAAGAGCATGCCTTCATTATATAGATTTAAAGCTTCATCAGATTGGAATGTATTGGTTCCCCAGATTTTGTTTAATTACGTCCTTATTTAGGAATTGGAATTATTATAATCTTTGGATCTTAAGAAAAGAATTGGAATTTGCTCGTGTTGATGACGTGAGGTTTCAAATTGGAATAAGAACTCCGAATCAAATTTTGCTATAAAATCCCAAGGTGACATTCAAGAGTCGTAAATTCGTTGTTAATTTCGTCAAAAGACCCAATAGTAAAGCTTATATGTTAAATGTTGAAGTTCATTTCCAATTACAAGCCATATGATTAAGGTTCAAAGCAATTATATGATTGGTGTTAAGGTGGTGATCCTAGACAAGATTCATAAATTTTCTTTCTTTCTTCTCACAATTTAAGTTGTTTTAAGTCTATCATGATTCAAGCCATGTTTCCAACACTAAAGCCGCAAAGTCAAGGTTATTCGTCTAAAATCCAAAATCAAGTATCCAAGGTTTCTCCAATTATTTTACAAATATATTCCAAGTATAAATCATAACTTTGAGAAAATATTAGGTGAAGTAAAGTCAAGAATGTACAAATAATACCAAAACTCATCACAAGGCCAAATTTGAAATTTAGAATAATGGTTTTCATCATCCAAGAACCATGTTACAATTGGCACAAGGAAATTATAGATCCTATTTATTTCTACATTATCACATGTATTCCTGTTAAGTCTTCAAGTTCAACCATGTTTTACAAGGTCCAAATATTATGTACTCAAGCAAAATCATGAGGTATGTGGATGATGCTTACATGTATTCACCAATTCACCAATCATAACAAGGATTCTAGTTTCAATTATAAACTTATTAGCCTTACAAGACTTAGCTTTCCAAAGGAATGGGTAAAGGAAAATCTCATAGTTTGGATATCTCCACATAATGCCGTCGAGAGAAAAGAAGAGGTGAGTTTTTAAGAACTTGGAGTAAGGTCCTTCAAATTTTCTTCATTCACTATTTTAAAAAAAAACCTCCACCGATTTCGCATGGTCTAATCCAACTATACTTGGACGACCCGTCTTGAAGTAGTAACTGTTGTATGGAAATTTTACCCCATACCCCTACACTTATACCCACACCCCTACACTAAAAAATATTGGACTAAAATACCCTTGTTTAAATATTTATAATTTTAGAAATTTTTTCACTTTCACTTCATTTGCATTTCAACACTTCCAGAGCACTCTTTTTCTCCTACAAACCGGAACTCTTCCGACAAGTCATCCGAAACACATTTTTTGGCCAATACATACCGGAACTCTAATAGTAAGTCTTCCGGTTTTGTTGAATTTTTTGTTTGTTCACCGGAAGACTTTATGTATGTCTTCCGGTTTGTAATTGTTTTTGGTTTCTTCACCGGAAGACTTAATGCATGTCTTCCGGTTCATAACATTTTGCTTTTGTTCAACGGAAGTCTTTGAGTATGTCTTCCGGAACACACGTTTTACGTTTTGTCCACCGGAAGCCTTTGCTCAAGTCTTCCGGTTCATTTTTTTTTAATTTTTAATTTTATTTATTTATTTGTTTTGTCAGTGGTGTGTACACGAGGCAGAGATGGTAGGATCCCTCGTGTACTAGGACGGGGCGAGTCATCGAGAATGGCTAAAGAAGAGCATTTTGATGCATCTGCATCAGCATCCGAGCATGTTGGATATCTAGGAGGACCGTATGATACATCGTTGTTAGTTAATTATGAACATCATGTTGCTAGACATATATGGTTCGGTGAGGTAAGTAAACGAAAATTATTTAATATTGAATAGAATTCGAATTTTTAATATTAAATTTTATAATATATTTAATTTTAATTGTTTTCAGGAGAGAGGGTCGAAGAAAGAGTTAAAGGTAGCGGGACATGGCTTGAAGTTGATTTAGAGGGTTCCACTACAGCTACCCAGAGAGATGGAGAGCTGGATATCTAGGTCTGCTCTAGCTTCACTCCAGAGAACCAGTTTAACAAAGATAGACACGAACCTAGTTTCCGCCTTTGCAGAGAGATTGCATCTAGAGACATCTTCATTTCACGTGCCGTTTGGTGAGATGATGATTACTCTAGATGACGTATCTTGCCTTCTTCACTTCCCATTAGGGGAGTTTTCTGGAGCCCCCAAGATATCAGTGAAGCGCTTGCTGTTGAGTGGGATGTTGATTATTTAGGAGTGTCACAGAGAGTAACACAACAACAAGTCTATGACTTCAGGGGTTCATACTATAAGTTAGAGTGGTTATATGATCGATTCGTAGAGCACAGAGCTGCATCTAGATGGGATTATGCCACTAGAGTTTATTTGCTGATGTTAGTGGATTCCACTATTTTTGCGGACAAGACGTTCACACTTGTCGAGGCACGATACCTCTCACTGTTTATAGACTTGGATGGCTTATTAGGATACAGTTGGGGAGCAGCTGCGTTGGTTACTTTTTATAGATATCTCTGAGATGCTTCCATGTTCAGTTGTAAGCAGTTTGGTGGTTATCCGACTCTCCTACAAGTATTTGTTTTAATTTAGTATATTTTGTTTTAATTTATTTTATCTAGTATATTAATTTTATTTATCTAGTTTATTATGTTATAATTAATTATTTTAAATTTAGTAACCATATTAATTTTGTAACAGTGCTGGATTCATGAGTATTTTCCAACACTTGGGAAAAGAGGAGAGAACTGGGTACCAGCTAATAATGTGGGTCTCCCTCGAGCGATAAGATGGTCCTATAGGCAAGGTGCCTTGAAGGTGGATGACTTGCGACCTATTTTGGACGAGTTGACACCTGCCGATGTCATATGGCGCCCATTCGAGAATCATAGAGTATGGCGTCAGTTTGATGAGTTATGTCTCTATAGGGGGTGTCTGAGGTGGGGTGACACTATTGTTCCATACTTGCCTGACAAATGTATGCGTCAGTTTAGATACAGGCAGTATGTTCGACATCCACATCTTGATTCTCAAATGGATGGTGATATTGATTTGATTAGTTACCATCAGAGCGTTCAGGATGTGATTCGTCCGACAACACCGACCACCACCCCATATGAGACAGATGATGGGTATCTTAAGTGGTATTATCGTGTTTCCCATCCTCATCTGGTACCGCCCAGTGTTGATGCGACAAGAGAGATGCTAGTTCCTGTATATGAAGCAGGACCATCTGATCCTATATTGGCTCGTATGTCTTCATTGATTCATCATTATCTTTAACAGGCTAGTGCTGAAGAGGATGACCCACAGTTTGTTGATTTGTTCGAAGCTTTACATCTTGGTCGATCACAGTGACTTATATTTATATTTATGGTTATATGTTAACTTTTAGACTCATTTGACCTAATTGGTTTATGTTCATGTGTTAACTTTTAGACTCATTTGACCTAGTTGGTTTATGTTTATGTGTTAACTTGTAGCCTGAAATTAAAAATGAATAACATAATTCATGATTCATGTTTTGAAATTAAAAATGAGTAACATAATTCACGATTCATGTTTTGAAATTAAAATGAGTAACATAATTCACGATTCGTGTTTTAAAATTAAAAATGAGTAACATAATTTATAATTCATAACGCGTTGGTAATATAGGCGTAAGTTGTTACCAATGTTGTAGACATCCTGCAAATCCTATCATCCAAGATGTTGCTGCTGGAGAACGAAACTTCTTCCAATCTACTGTCACTGGTGGCAATGGAAACCCTTCTTTCATGTTTACCTAAATAAAAAAATAATCAAAATATTAAGTAAAAATAACGAAAAAGAATTAGGTTTAATCGCATTATCTAAAAACAACTAAGTACCTGAACCCAATGATTTATGTTTACAAAACCAATGCATTAAATTGATACATTTGGTGAAAATGAAGTTGTCATAGGGAAGAAAGTCCAACATTCAATTCCTAAACAGACAAGTACAACATTATAATGATTCGTTATCACGTAACCCATATCTGGTAGAGTTAACCATTTATGTGGTGGTTGAGGACCAAATTCCTCTATCATCAAAGATTCTCTCACTACTGCTAATTGATCAGTAAATAAATTGGCATACAAAATTGATCTTTCATTATGTATTATTTCCAACCCCAATTCTTGACGAACCATTGGCCAACCATCTTCACCATATCCATGTGTTGCACCCAAACATTTGCCTAACCTTTTCTTACTTGGTTTATGTTTCATTGCATTAGCATATCATTGATCTAACATTTGCATAGCATAGCATTGTTCATTTAATAGGGGATCAAGTGTGGTTTATATCCAGAGGAGCCTATCTAGAGGTCTTGTGCAAGTTTGAGAAGTCACCAAAGTCATCAGGAAGAGGGTTGGGTTCTTGAGGAGTTCATTTGTTTGTAAGGGGTTAGGCTCCTAATTTGAGGACCAATTGAAGATCATCAATGGGTTGTGAGGTCTTGACCAAGGTGAGAGGGTGTGGATAGAGTTCATAGAGTGCCTTTAGGGTCATGGTGGAGCTCAGACAAGTCATTGTGTCAAGTGTGAAGAGCCACAGTTGAGGGTGTTGCAAGTAGGGTTTTCATCTGAGTAATCCTAAGTCAACTGACCAATTAAAGAGGATCAAAGCTCAGTTCTAGGTATTTGTAATCATGGATAGTTGTGTTGAGATGCATGAGATGATATTCCAATATTAATCCAAGAAAAGTTCAAGGTGTGAGAAGTTGCTAAATTAGGGTTCTCAGGGTAAAATCCTCTATTTAGTGCCTAACTTCAAGACCACTTATCTCAAGATACAAGTTTCATCTCCACTTTTAGCCAACATGAAACTTGTATATCATGTTCTTAGCTTTAATTTTAGTACTAGAAGTCCTCCATTGGATTTATAGAACTCAAGTTATGGTCCAGACAAGTTACAGGTCATCTGAGGAATGTGAAATTTGTCTGTGAAAGTCAACCAACTTCCAAGGAACATTTGACATAGAAGGGTGTTTCTCTTGAACTTTTGGCCAACATGAAAGTTGTAGGTTTTGATCTTAGCTTTCCAAATTGTGCTAGAAGTCTTCCATCTGATTTGTAGAACTCAAGTTATGAGGTTTACAAGTTAGGGGTATTTTGGGAAAGTAAGATTATAGGTCATTTGGCATTATAGGTCATTTTCTCCATCTTGCAAGCTTCAAATGAAATTTTGTTCAACACAAAACTTGCTCAAAATGATGTTTTTAGGTCAACCATATACTCATGATGATTTGATTTGGATTTAGGTGAGACTTGGTTTGAAGAATTTTGCAAAAGGAAGAATTTAAAGGTATTTGATTGAAAAATTCATGATCAATTCATTTATGCTCAAAATGGACCATATGAATACTCATTTTGATCAGAAAAACAATTCTAAACACATTGGAAATTTTAGAATTTCCATTTGAGGTCAATTTCATGGTGATATGGTTTGTTACTTCACAAGTAAGCAACACCTCATAGCTTGGTTATTGAATGGATTCAAGTACTCAAATCACTCTAAACTCTCTCACCAGACTACAAAGAGAAGATTGAAAGCTTCCAAGGGAAGTTTCAAGTCAGAACACGCATTCACCATGGTTGGTTTTGTGAAGGAAATTTGAAAATTGAATTTCTGGATTTGGGCCTCCATTGGGTCAAAAAAGCCCATGAATCATTTCTATTTAAGTTCTGTGAATGAATTGGAACATTTTTGGAGATCATTTCGCACCAGAACCAAGGATTGAAGTTGGAGCTTGAAGAAGAAAGTTGAAAATCGTGATTTACATTTCAAGCTAGATCCAAGAAAATTGAAGTTGCAAACACGTTCCTCATCAAGCATTGAAGCGATTTGTAGTGTTTTGAAGCTAGAATCGTGTTCTAGATACCTCAATTTGAAGCTCAAAGTCAGGTATGTAGTTTTCAAATTTACACTGGTTATAGCATGATCTAAGCATGATTAGTATGTGGATAGGCTTTGGATTGAGATATAGATGGAATTTGGATAAGAATTTGGTTGATTAGAGACAAATTAGGTGATGACATAATTTCTGTTTGGATGCGAATTGATTTGATCTTGAGGCTTTGATACAATTGGAATAGCATGTGATGATCAATGATAGATGAGGATTAAATTCATACCAATAGTTTGAGTTTTAGTGAGAGTTCAGATTGAAGTGCATTTTGAGATCTTCTTCGTGTTTTAAAATCTAGTAGGATTTAGAGGAATTGAAGGTTATATTTGAGATCAGGAGGAATTTTGGAGTGGAATGATGTTATGTTTGTTGAGTTTCCATGACCTGTAATCATCTGCTCGCCAGAGAAGATGGCCGGAGGTCATCTCCGGCCACCGTCTGAGAGCTTCCCTCCATCTAGCCTTTCAAACAAAGAAGATGAATGCATTGCCCTTGGATCTGTCCTGAAGCTTGACTTTGTATGAAGATCGTGTGGTTGTGTTTTATTCTGAGGATTTGAAGTTTGAGTACAAAACGCATCGTTTCATTAATCCTGGCTGGCAGCTACGTGGCGTGTCAGTTGGACAGCGTGAGAGCCTTTAGATTAGCTTACTGAGTCCATTGATTCAACGCCTGTGACTTTTTCTTGCATTTTATTTGTTTTAATTCTTTTCTTTTTTATTTTAATTGCATTTTTCATTTCTAAATTCATTTTAATTTCATTATTTGTCAGAAAAATAAAATAAAAATATGCTCAAGATCCTCTTTTAATTTGTGATTTTTCTGTGCTGTTAGATTTAATTTTTGTTGATTTTGCAATTTAATTTAATTTTTCTCATTTTATTGAATTCTTTAATTTTGAATATTTGATACATCTGTTTGCTGATTTTTGTTCTTGCAATTGGTTTGGAATCTTGACCTAATTTTTTGCCAAATTGTAGATTAGATATGTATGTTCCCTCAGGAATTTTCTCTTGATTTTTAGATAATCATAGATTCTGTTTTGGATTAGGGTTTTAGAGCCTTCCCTTTCATGGTATCCCTTTGACACTTTACAATTTAGGATTTTATTAGTTTCCTTAGAAATTGAATTAGGCTCTGATATTGAACTATAGGTTCTTAACACTTGCATGTTCCCTTAGGAAAATTTGTAGATTTTTAGAATCTAGTTTGCTATTTTAGATAGAATTTGCAATTAGGTTGTTCAGTTGGTGCTCCTAACTTGGTGCTTGCTTTGTTTTGCCTTCAATGGTGGCTTTTGGTGCATGTTGAGCTTGTGATTCTTCTTGGATGTTGTTTTGGGCATGTTGTAGCTTCTGTGTAGTTGATTGTGGAGCTTGGCTTGGAGTTCTTCTTTCCTTTTGGTAGCTCCTTTGTGGCTTATAGGAATTAGGGTTTAGGAGAGAGTTTAGAAGTAGTTTTCTTTCTCCCTCAAACATGGATTGCTTTGATTGCTTTCCATTCTCATCCTATGATTCAATGTCCCTATGTGAAAGCCTCATCTTTCCTTTGGAAAGATGTGTGGCATTTTACAATAGGTAGAACCTTTGAGGATGCCTTTCTCAGATGACTGGTTGAGTGTCTGGTAGGATTCCTTTGGTTTCGTTCTTGCTTCCCATCATCAGTTAATATCTTGATATGATTTCTCTGCCTTTGTGTTGGAGCTTGTTGAAGCATGAAGATGAAGATTTCTTTTGAAGGTGGTTTGGCTTGAGGTTTTTGTTTGCAGACTGTTTGTCTGTTTGCTGTTTATCTGCTTTGCTGTTGAGCTGTTTTGTCTGCTGCTTCTTCTGACTGCTCTGCTTTGCTTGTGTGACTTGCTTGGAGTGTTGCATTAGTAGTAGGCTTCATGTAGATGATCATAGACCTAAGAGCATCCTAAAGGTTAATAATAGCTCCCTTTGCTTGTCTGCATTAGAGGTTGAGTTTCTCCCTCTGCTTGTATTTTTACTGTGTGGCTTTGGTTGCTGGTATTTGGTTGAGCTCAGCTCCCTTGCCTGTGTGGTGTATGGCCTTTGTGCCTTGATTGTTTAGAAGTTGAGTGTGACTTCTTCTGCTTGTTTGTTGCATTGCATGCATTTTATTTACAGTAATTTCTTTACAGTTATTTCTTTTGCTGTTTGTTTTCCTTTGCCATGTTCCCCTAGGAACTCTGACTTCTCTTGTTCAAGAGAAGTTATGACATACATTAGGGCTCTAAACATGCATGATAAAATTAGGTAGTTCCCTTCTAACCTCAACCATAGGATCAATTTTGCATGACCACTTTAGGATTGGATCAGTTCCCCTTTAGTGCGTCTTTTCTCTTCTC